GAATGATAACAAGCTAAAATAAGGACAAGGTTTAATAAAGATAAGTTAAAGTAAAAATAAGCAAAAATGATGAGAAGCTAAACTGTCAACAAGCTTAAATGGGCATATGCAAAAATATGAACTAACTAAATAACAACAAGCTTATAAAATGAAAAACTAAAATAATAATGAGCCAAAATCCAAAGAAGCTAAAATTACGAAAAGCTGAAACGATGACAAGCCAAAATTAGAAAAATATTAAATGGCAATTAGCTAAAATAACAAGCTAAAATAAAAACAAGATTAAACCACGGCAAGCCCAAATAACGATAAGTAAAAGTAAAGATAAGCAAAAATTATGACGAGCTAAAATGTCAACAAGCTTAAATAAGCACATGCTGAAAATAAGAAATAAAAAAATAGCAACAAGCTTATATGATAACAAGGTAAAATAAGGAAAATTAGGGCAAGCTCAAAATAAGAACTAAATAAATAAAACCCTTAAAAGACAAGCTAACATGAGCAAATTCTAAAATGACGATAAGTAAAAAAGAGGACAATCTTGTATAACGATAATAAGTCAAAATCCAGACGAGCTTAAATTTGAAAAAGCTAAAATGGCGACAAACTTAAATGAGAACAAGCTAAAATAACAAGCTAGAATGATAACAAGCTTAAACTACGGCAAGCTCAAATAAGGATAAGTTAGAGTAAAAAAAGCAAACATTATGACAAGATAAAATAAGCATGTGCTAAAATAAGAACTAAATAAATTACAAGCTGAAATAAGCAAATGCTAAAATGAGAACAAGCTTTGTAACGAGAAACTAGAATGATAATAAGTCAAAATCCTGACAAGCTAAAATATGGACAAGCCTTAATCACAGCAAGCTTAAATAACGATAAGTTAAAGTAAAAATAAGCATAAATCCTGGATATGCTACTGATTCTTAAGTTTGTTTTTGATGCCTTAACGTATTTGCCTCGATTGCTTATCTCTGAAAAAAGTATAAAACCTCGTCGCGACGCCACAAACAAATTTCCCCAGCATATTTATTTTTCTGTTTTATCCTAACCCACTCGCTTTGAGTGACGACTCCCTTGCGGCGAATAAAACTATAAATCCGCCGATTTGTTCGTCGGCATCGACGCGCGATTTCCAATCAAATCAGAGCCGAGCGCGATGGTGAATGAGTGGCCGATATAAATCCGAGCTGTGCGATATGTGCGGCATCAGCGAAGGGCAGCAAGAAAGATGAAGCCATTCCTAAGAAAAATTCACTCCGGCGCGGGAATCGCTCATTCCCTGGTTTTCCACCCCGCCCCCACATTTGTTATGGTATGTCGATATGTTTCCAATAACAATATGCTAAATATTCAGAGGGATTTTATGAGTGTCATTTATATGGTCCCTTGTTTTATTTTTCATTATAAGGTTGTTTCATTTTAATGGGATCCCCATTAAGTATTTATTTTAGAGGTTTATTTGGACCACTGGGTATAAGATTCATGCATCTATCTGAAATTTTGTTGATTTTTTTTTACAATAAATAAAACGAGTTTTAAGTGGTGGATTATGAATCAGGCAAATAAAAATATACCAATCTGGGAGTTGCAATCTAAACTGTGCACCACTCAATGTGTCGCGACCAAAAAGTTCGTCCTTTTTCAAAACGACATAACTTTTTTGTTTCTTGAACGATTTTATTTTGGTCTGTGATGTCTGCCAACCCCATCCTCTGGAAATTCATGCTATAGATCTTAAGCATACGGTTTTTCAAGTAAATTTCCTACAGGGTGATATGTAAAACAGTGAAAAATTTCAATAACTTCATCCAAGCCCCGTTTGTAAAACAATAATTTTTTTTTCGTTTTTACTTTGAAATAAAATTTTTTGAATTGGAATCTTAACAACGAAAATATGATTTTTTTTTCAAAAGAGTACATTTAAGGCTTTTTGGTAGGCAATATATTCAGTCTTTTTAAGAACAAGAAAATAAGATGGTAAATGATTGTTCCTTGAATAATTCTGAATAAGCGACAATCAACAAACTTACCATTATTTTCAGAGGGCCTAAACTAAGACCACTTTTTGAAAGTTTGCAAAAACTAAACCTAAACCGATATTTACTTTCGTAAAGATGTTTTCTTCATAATTTTGACCTCCTGATTGTGATTCAGTTGTCAAATTTAAGTTTCAGATAAAACCAAAATCACTACGAATCAAGATTCGAAAACAGTTCCCGGCTGTTAAATGTGTCAATAAAATCCGATTGCTGGTTTTTACTGTTTTTTTACATATCGTAAATGAGTATTTAAGGGACCACCATATTGAGAAAATGAATTGGCCACCTTTGTCTCCGGATATGAATCCTATTGAGCATGTGTGGAGCAGGATAAAATTGAAGATGAAAGAGAGGGAAGGAGGCATGGAAAATTTGGATGAATTGGTAAATGCTATTCAGGAAGAATGGGGTACCCCAGAAATTTCTAAGGAACTTGGTCGAGGAAATGCCCAGGAGGGTTAACGAATTATTACGGCTTAGGGGAGGGCCAACGAAATATTGAAAGGTATTATTGTTATTGTTTGTTACATTTTTCTGTTGAATGTTGAAGTTTTGATTATGATTATAACTACGCATACAATTTTCAAAAATGAACAAAAATATTTTTATTTAACTTTATTATAAATTAGGTAGGTACTTATCAATGATGTTATCACTAATGCGCAATGTAAATGTAAGTTATGTAACATTATCCTAACCACTCAAACAAACTGCAGTAAATTCGCCCAAAAAATGAATCCCCAAATGGCATTTTCATCATAAATATGCAAGAAACACGACAGCAATCGGATTTTATTAAGACATTTAACAACAGGAAATTGTTTTCGAATTTTGATTCTTGATGATTTTGGTTTTATCTGAAACTTAAATTTGACAACTGAATCACAATCAGGAGGTCAAAATTATAAAGAAAACATGTCACGAACGTAAATATCGGTTCAGGTTTAGTTTTCGCAAATTTTTACCAAAATGTCATTTTGAAAAAGTGGTCTTTCTTAGGCCCCTCTGAAAATAATGGAAGTTTGTTGCTTGTCGCTTGTTCAGAATTATTCAAGGAACAATCATTTACCATCTTATTTTCTTGTTCTTAAAAAGACTGAATAGGTATATTGCCTACCAAAAAGCCTTAAATGTACTCTTTTGAAAAAAAATCATATTTTCGTTGCTAAGATTCCAATTCGAAAAATTCGAAAAACGTTTTAAGGTAACACATAATACTTCTTTATTTCAAAGTAAAAACGAAAAAAAATTATTGTTTTACAAACGGTGCTTGGATGAAGTTATTGAAATTTTTCACCGTTTTACATATCACCCTGTAGGAAATTTACTTGAAGAACCGTATGCTTAATATCTATAGCATGAATTGCCAGAGGATGGGGTTAGCAGACATCACAGACCAAAATAAAATCGTTCAAGAAACAAAAAAGTTATGTCGTTTTGAAAAAGGACGAACTTTTTGGTCGCGACACATTGAGTGGTGCGCAGTTTACTTTATGAGGCTAGTAATTTATTATTTACCGCGTTTGGACAAATGATAAAAATCGATATCTGTCAGATCTATCTAACCTTACTTTCTACATTTAATAATTGAACATTTTATTTGTCCTTTAACAAATAAAACTGTGCCTTATAAATAAGACATGTCTTTTTACTCTTCTTTCAAAAAGATTTACTTCTTGGCTTAATGACACAAACACAGAGACAAATCTGTTTGAAAAAAATTGCACATTTTCTATAAATGTGCTACGCTATCCAAGATAGTTGGATTGGTTTTTCTAATTAGTTTGTTTAATTCAATTATTATTATTATTAAGGTTAGTACCACATTTCTCGTGAGTTTACACAATAATTATAATTATTGAATATTATTTTTCCGAATAGATAGGTAGGTATTTGCAACATTTTTCAGGGACTGAGATACCTAAATCAATAATTATGACCTGGTGATCAAATTAGGATAAAAAGTGTTTCCATGTTCCTCCTGTGCTACATTATTGATCAGCTTACTATTTACTTTAGTTTGTAATTTATGTTTATTTTATGTTTTCAGTTTATATTAACTTAATTCTATCCTTACAAAATTTTTGTGTTGGTCGCTGAATACATATTAAATCTATCGACATTTGTACTATTATAAGTGGAGACTCACTTCATGTTGAATTATATCTCAATATTATTAGAATTAGCTATACGAATTTTATTTTTCAGTCTGTATAGCTTCTTTGGATTTTGAATTATTATAATTTTAGTTTGTCATTATATAATCTTGTTTTCATTTAAACTTGTAATCATTTTAGTTCCCAATACTACATATTTATGCTCGTAATATGCATGTATCTGTTAATAATTTAAAATTTATCAAATAATAACTAAATCTACCAATATAAACTAAAACTGCAAATTCTGGCAATATAATTAAAACAAATTTAATCGAAAGAGGAGAACAATAAAGGACAATAAATGGAGAAATAAAATTTGCGTAACAGTTTTGCCGATGAAGCATTCGACTAGGTCCGAAGTTGCACGACAAAAATCACAAATTCGATCAAAAATTTTGATACGCGACATTAGGCCTGAATCATTGCGGCGGTTTTTAGTTCAACGGAACGTAATAAAATATCCGAAACGCCCGTAAATTTTGCGATTTTTTCTTCCGCTGCTGCTGCAGTGTACGCACCGTCAATCGTTTTGTTTGTTGCCAGTTATTTGGGAAGTATGAAAGACAAATTTATGATGTCGCAATGTGTGCGAAATCAAACTGTAAATAATGAATTGTAACAACGCTCGACATCAAATTTAGTCTCTGCTACAGTCAAAGCTATAATTAACTTTCCAACTTATACAGGAGTGTCAAGACTTACGAATAAAGTATATACAAAGTCAGAATGATGAATTAAGGGAATGATGATAAGTATTAAATAGAAAACCTGACGGCATCAAATTTTATTTGCAAAATCACTGGTTAACAGAAATAATTGGGAACAACGCCCACATAGCGATGCCACAATTGTTGTCGCTATTTCTTGGCAACTTGAAGTAACCATCTTCGCCCCAATTCTTCCCCCAGGTGTTTTTGAGAAGCCAATAATCCTCTCCATCTTCTGTACCATAACCTACAAGCGCTACGGCATGGTTCGTGTGGTTGGTGCAGACAGGATCGTGGAGAATGTTTCCCTGGTACTGTTTGAGGTTATCGGTAACAGAAATCGATACGCCGATGGCACCTTGTAGGTACACAGCCCTCTTGAGGCTTTCCTCATCGCCTTGCGGTATTCTTTCATAACTTACGACTTTCAAAGGTGCGTTGTTTTCCTCTTTGGCTTGACATTCGCCTTGTTCTCCAGTGTACGGGTATGCCTCCCAAAAGTTGATACCGTTATCTTTTATAAAATCGAAGGCCCTTGACGCTAGACCACTAACACATCCCTTGTTATCATATTCCTTGGAACAGTCAATGATGTGTTGAACGCTTAGTCGAAGTTTTTCGTTGGTTAATTTGTAGTAGGCTGTTTCTAGGACTGCTGCCTGTAAGTGTCAGAATAAAGAGAATACTATTTTACGAAATTTGTCATGTTTGATAATGATGATGATAATGATGATGATGTTGACATGCAGTTCTGCCAAAACACATAGATGGAGCTCCTAACTTTCCTCTTCGTCTAAGGAGACCATAAAGCTAACTTAACTACCATTTAGCTTTATAGAGGTGTCAGAGGGGGATTTATAAAAGCTGTGAGAACCTCATTAAAGCATTTGGCAATGAAGTCAATAAAGCATTTACAGCAATAATAAAACTTAACTCCTGTTTAGAGAGGTATAAAAAATCTTACTGCAGTAAAAGCATAACATGCTCCACAAAACCCTTGGTCTAAAATAGGATTCATGGCACCTTGTTCCCTCCAATCCCAACTATCGGGAACAGGAATATTGTCCCTACTTTGGAAAACGGGAATATTTTTAATTTTTGATGTGTCCGTGGGTGTTAGATTGCGTTTTCTCGAAAATTCCTTGAAAGTCATGTCGCTAAACTTGTTTACAGTCATTTTCCATGTTTTTTTATTTCCACTGTATTGTTTCTGAATGTTCTTTAAATTTTTCGAAAAAATTGTGAATCGAAAGTTTTCTTCTAATGAGTTTTCGTATTTTTTATTGTAGGTAATCTTAAATAAAATGTATGGAGTATAAAAATATAAGCAAAGATTTATAATTTACCTTAAATTCTTCCCATTCTCTCTTAACATTATAACCATTAGCAGCAACAAATGCTAAAACTAAAATTATAATGAAAACTTTCATGTTTAAATGATATTTTATTTCATTGGGAGAAGCTATATAAAGGCAGTAAAGATTTTATCACAACGTTATGGTTATTTTTTGTGAAATCAATTTTTCATTTATTTTATTTAAAATTAACCATTATAATGGGCGACAAAAATTATTTTTGTATGCTTGAAAGTTACCTTGATTATTTTATAAACAGAGTGACCAAAAAACGTTGTACACGGAAAATAATGATTTTTGGAGATTGACGAAAATGACAGATTGATAGTTTTGGTTGAACATTATGTGAAGGTTAACAAAAATGTATCTACTGACATTGACATTGAAGACATGGGCATATTTTATAACATGGCAATACAAAATCGATGTTTTTTAGAGACTAATATCCTTCCCGAACAATCTTGAATGCACAAATTTTATCTCTAATATACGTAAAATTATTATAATAAGATTTCTGATCCGAGTATAATAGTTTAATAGTTTGGCATTACTTTGAAGATCATTTTAAACTTGCTCTAAACTCGAGCGTATGTGTTATTAGTTTTCAAGTGACTATTAAGTCAGTTTAATGCCAGACGTTCAACTGTTTTGTTATCGAATTAAAGTGATTTTCAAGGGGGGGGGGAAATCGATTTACGTGTTTCGCGTGATTTTCTTAATATCTGTTTCGTGATATATTTTTATTTGTCATGAAGGTAATCATCATTACTGATAGCAAATCATTCTAAGGGTTATTTTCATTTAATTTTGATTTGATTTGAAGTAAGAAATTAGTTTTTGAAGAACTAATTGTGAAAAAATGTACAGGGTGTTCGGAAAAAACGACAATATACCTTCTTAAAATTATAGAATTAAAGTATAAAATAACAAAATCCAAATTGTAAATGTTTCCGAACTTTTAATAAGCGCTGATTGCGGGGTGAAATTGAGACGGCTCCTTATCGATAAGAAGATTATAATAATAATAATCCCAGGAAAGGGTTAAAACTCCTTAAACTCCTTTTAGGGAAACACTAATGCCGTATTATCGACGGGTGGACAGATCCCTATGGCAACCAAACAATAAGTTTTTGGTTCGCAGAAGTGACGGGAATTGTTTGGAGTGGCAAAGGGGCCGAACAGGGGGCAATTAGCGCCCCACCCGCGGGGAAAATTTGTCTTTTGGAGTGCCTCCTGCGTTAAAGTAAACAGTTTAGGCCGCGCCATAGCCAAAGATGATGTTATCTTTTGGTATTTGCTTTTAACAACTTCTGCTTTAACTCTTATATAGTTGTAGGTAATAATCTTAATTTTGAATCCAAGTGATAAGAGAGCGAGTATCATTTTTATTATACAGGGGGTTACAATTGTAATTATTCGAGTAAGACATTTTAAATGAAACTCTGTAGTTTTCAAGGGAATTCTTTTACGCTAGGGGCATTTCGCCAATTAATGAAAAGCTAATTAGAGGTCTCTTTTGGTTCATTGTGAAGTATTGATCGAGAACAATTAAGTCGATTTAATGATTGCGGTCCGTATCTATTTCATTGTGCCGATTCGACAACCCGTCCCTTTTTTCCTTTTATTTTTTTCTGCGTTTGCTTTGCCATCTTTACCGTTTCCACGTTTGCCAAGAAACAAAGACGTTATTAGCTTCTAATAGGCCAAGGATTGTCGTCAAAAGAAACTTGTGGTTATTGCTTTGTTTATACTATGTTTTTTATGTATAATTTAACAAAATAATATATGTATATTCGTTACAAACCGTCACCGACTGCCTGAAACTGATGAGCCCCAACTGCTCGTGACGAGATGGAAGGCACTTTAGTCTTGCAATATTGGTTGCCTACTACTGGCGTAAAGTAGTAAAACTGATTTTTTTTAAGACTAGAGGTATTTTTGCATTTAGAAAACATTTTTTTTTCGTGTAATTGAGCAACCCTCGTATACAGCTTGTTTGGTGGTTTAGACAAATGCAAACACTACCTCCAAAAATATAGTTCAACAATCTCTCGGCCATTCAAATTTCGCCATTTGAAAACATTGCTGCCAACAGAGCGAGCATAAAAGCCCGTATGGATGGCTGTTTGATTTCGGTCGTGGCCATTTAACGCAACCATAAATAATACATGCACTGATGTTCGGCAATAATTTTATTAATTAAAAGTATAAATTCTGAATAACGGCGCAATGTTTGCGTCAATGATCATTTGTAACGATATTAAAAAGCAGTTAAAATTCGCGATCCGCTAATACGCGCATTATATATCTATTAGTTTTGTTTTACTCGATGTCGAGTTTGCTCAATGCGATATCAATAGTAATTAAATTCAATTTATTTGTTTGCTACATTAAAAATATGTGTGGGTAATATTACAAAACAATGTTAAATACCGAAAGATTCTGTGGTAAAAAATTTTGCTAATAAAGTTTCCATACGTCAAAGGAATTTCGGAAAAAATAAGAAAAATAGGAACATCAACAACTCATCTTCTTCTTCTACTACTTCTTCTCCTTCTTCTCAAATTAAATCATGCTACACAGAAAAAAAGAAAAAAAAGGAAACAGGAAGTTCCTTGACGCATTACTAGTATATTACCAGTGGTATTATTCCACAAAATTTTTCCTTCAACTCGCTAGATATAATGTTTTTAGTGCGTTCCACCAACTTAAAATACTTCAAGTATTGACAGCTGTTTCCACCTATTTAAGGTCTCTTTAGTATCGAACAACTTGTAGTGTCACACCAAAGCAAAGGACTACCTGAGCTTATATACTTTTCATGTAAGTCAACAGAGGCGAGATTTAAGAACATCACGTGATCCACACCGCCTTTGCCGCGATCGGTACACACTATGCAACCAGGAATGCACGGCAAATTGTTTTAATCGTTTTAACAGATTGCTTTAGGTTGAAGTAACTCTTATTTTACAAACAACAGATTTAGTAAACTGAACCATACAGCGGGTTGGTTTCACTAAAGTTTTCTAGGTTAATTTAACCAATTTAAAAAAAAAATAACTATCTGGTTTAGTACCGTCAAACTAATCTTTGTTTCCCACAGTTGATTTTGATTGTTTTTTCTGTGTAGGTGCACTTCTCAAATATTTTTAGATAAACACCGTTTTGGTGTTTGATGTATATAACATTTTCAACCATAACTCATGGTGTTTATATTAACACCACTTGGTGTTGGATTTTGACACCATTTTAAGATTACTCTTTACACCACAGATATTTTAAACAGTGTATACTACGGCAAACATGTTTTAAAAGAATATTGCTTACGACCTGTAGCTACTTAACTTATTCAGTATTCACCTGAAGATGACTGAAGATACTTACCAGTCGAAATGTCATAATAAAAAAATACTACGGCAATGAAAGTCCAAAACCGTTTTTTCATTCAAATAGTTTGTTAATATTTTCATTAAAAATACGCGCGGTATTTTTTTCTTGTTGAAGAATACTTTTTTTCAAAAAGCCAGTATAGTAATTGTAAAAATATGTCTCCATTTACTCTCTAAAAATGAATTAGTCAAAAATGACTAATTTAATAGCTATTAGTGGCTGCTTTTTGGTATCCCAAAATTTAACAGCCAATTCTTATGTAAAATTGTCCCCTGAATCCGAAAATTATGAAAGTGGACAAGTTTATGAGATATAGTCAATTCCATATTAAATGGAAAATTGACTATATCTCAAAAACTGTATTTATTTTTACAGAACTTTCAGAATCACCTACTCTGTCTACGTCACTGTTAAAAATATATTTTTCATCAATTTCATTTCAGAGGTAAAAACTAAACAATCTCAAATGAACACTAGAGAAAAACTTGTTTCTCTTTCCGATCACGTCATATCGAACTTTGATTAGGATTTTCCCCACAGCTACCGTATTGGGCGACATTTTCCGCCGAAAACATTACGTATTAATTTCGAAAGTTTAAATAAACTTTCTAAAATATCGGCCAACGGCAATTCAGCAAATTTACGGCACGAAACAAACGACCCTTTATTTAATAATGCTGGTATTATATTTGAACAGAACCAAATTAAAAAAGAAAAATACACTGTATTTAGTTTCTTGATATTTTGTTGACATTAACACGAAATATTAAAATTTAGATCCTTTATTTTTTGCAATAATTGTTCCCCTTTAAGAAAATTATACAAAATAATTATTATAATTATTATTTCAGTATACTGAAATAATAATTATAATAATTATTTTGTATAATTTTCTTAAAGGGGAACAATTATTGCAAAAAATAAAGGATCTAAATTTTAATATTTCGTGTATATGTGTGTCCAGATTCTGGTACTTTAAATCCCCTAAAAAATTGAGTTAAATACATTTGTCTACTTCTACATTGACGAGCTATGACTTTATGGCGTTTTAGTCACAGACTGAAGTTAGCTTTATTATAAATTAGGGAAAAGTGAGGTTAAATCCATTAAAAGTTGACAGATGTCAAATGTTTAACAATTAAAATTCTGTTCGTCGTAGATAAAGTATAATATGCAACTCGTTTTATAAACTTCTTTAGACACTCGTTTTTATTTAACACTCGCTCGTAAGCTTCGCTCGTGCATAATAAAACTTGTAACTAAAACTTGATACATATTATTGGACATTTAATAGAAAAAAAGTTATATACTCATGAAGTGCTATTTCTGTAATTTTTGGTTATTAACACAGGCACTGTGGTTATTAATATTACGCGTTTTTTAAATATATATATTGATTAAAAATGATGGTCAGATGGTCAGTGTGGATTTTATAAAAATTGTTTTAATTTGTTCTAATAATTTTAGATTTATTTAACATTGGTACATTATTTAGTTCACAATTTTCCAAAATATTTTTGGTTAAAATAATCATCATTCAAGCTCATATCTGTAAACTGGTTTATTCCCATTGTATAGGTTTCCAATCCGGCATCATATCTTTTATTGTGTTTTTTTATGTCTCTAACATTTTTAAGATAGTTTATATAATGTTCATCATCCTCTTTAGGTGTGTAAACTTTATTATATTTTTGCTGAAAGAAAAATTTTATTTTATTTTAAAAAAAAATTACGGTTGACTATAGTTACCTACCTTATATTCCTCCCATAATTTTTGGTCTGCATAAACCACCAGTACTAAAGAAAATACGAAAATCAATTTACTTAACATGTTGAATATGATTTTTTGCTATATTAATCTGCGAACTAAATTACTTATTTATATACATACATATTATATATAATAAAATATTTAGTCACGAATATATAAATTTTATTATCACCTATAACAAAACATTTACAGTGGTTTAAAGTAAAAACAAATAAAATAAAAAACAATACATTATCTCTTTATACAAAAATTAATAATTACCTATCAAGATACAGGGTGTCAAAATTGTTATTGTTATTTATCTTCGGGGTTAAAATTGTTGCTCTCTTACAGTGTTGCCACATTTTATAATATTTTGGCCCACTGCTACAGTGGGTATATAAATATAAATATAAATTATCGGGTTAATAATGTCCAAATCACGAATATTTTTAAAATTAAATATTTTATTTTCTTTAAAGATAACATTTATAAGTTTAAAATATTGATATTCAAAAGAAGAAATCTAAAATAAACAATATTATAAAAAAACTGTAAATATTTTTGTTTTTTCAGACATTTAAACATTTAATTAATACATGTTTTTTGTTTCAGGTCCGGCATTTTGGGGCCTAATAAATCCGGAATGGTCGTTGTGCAACAAGGGACGTAGACAGTCGCCGGTTAATCTAGAGCCCAGTAAGCTGCTATTCGACCCGAATCTCCGACCTTTGCACATCGATAAGCACCGGGTAAGCCGATTACGACGCACCGACATGTGTGCCATGAGGTTGCTCTTAACCCCTTAATAATTTTCTTTTAATTCATATTGTCTATAAATGTCATAGTCCAATAAAAACCCTTTAAAATGACGTATCACTCGATAGAATCCGTCAAAAAATAAACGAGATACAGGCAAAAAACAAAACAATCTAGAGTGCTTTGAAAAAAGTTAATACCTTACATAGCTCACTTGTTATTTTATTAAAATATATCAAGTGACCCCTCATTTCAAAGCTAAACAAATTTCCCATCCAACCAACTCAACACATTCGAAATATATACGAGGTGTTTCAAGATACAACTCGCATTTTTTTGTTTTGGTTTCAGATAAGCGGTTCGATGATGAACCCCTTAATAATTTTCTTTTAATTGATGTCAATAAATGTCATAGTCAAATAAAAACCCTTTAAAATGACATATCACTCGATAGAATCCGTCAAAAAATAAACGAGATACAGGCAAAAACAAAACAATCTAGAGTGCTTTGAAAAAATGTTATATCTCGCATAGCTCACTTGTTATTTTCTCAAAATATATCAAGTGACCCCTCATTTCAAAGCTAAACAAATTTCCCACCCAACCAACTCAACACATTCGAAATATATACGAGGTGTTTCAAGATACAATTCGAATTTTTTTGTTTTGGTTTCAGATAAGCGGTTCGATGATGAACCTCTTAATAATGTTCTTTTAATTGATATTGTCAATAAATGTCGTAGTCCAATAAAAACCCTTTAAAATGACATATCACTCGAGAGAATCCGTCAAAAAATAAACGAGATACAGGCAAAAAACCAAACAATCTAGAGTGCTTTGAAAAAATGTTATATCTCGCATAGCTCACTTGTTATTTTCTCAAAATATATCGAGTGACCCCTCATTTCAAAGCTGAACAAATTTCCCACCCAACCAACTCAACGCATTAAAAATATATACGAGGTGTTTCAAGATACAATTCGCATTTTTTTGTTTTGGTTTCAGATAAGCTGTTCGATGATGAACCCCTTAATAATTTTCTTTTAATTGATATTGTCAATAAATATCATAGTCAAATAAAAACCCTTTAAAATGACATATCACTCGATAGAATCCGTCAAAAAATAAACGAGATACAGGCAAAAAACAAAACAATCTAGAGTGCTTTGTAAAAATGTTATATCTCGCATAGCTCACTTGTTATTTTCTCAAAATATATCGAGTGACCCCTCATTTGAAAGCTAAACAAATTTCCCACCCAACCAACTCAACGCATTCAAAATATATACGGGGCGTTTCAAGATACAATTCGCATTTTTTTGTTTTGGTTTCAGATAAGCGGTTCGATGATGAATACCGGTCACAGTATCATTTTTAATGTGGATAATGATACGAGGCATCACATTAATATTACTGGAGGGCCATTATCGTACAAATATCAATTTCAAGAGATCCATATCCACTACGGATTGCATGACCAGTTCGGATCTGAGCATTCGATTAACGGCTACGCGTTCCCAGCTGAGGTAAGAATGAAATTTTTAAAAAAATTAATTTAAATAACTTTTAATTTGACTTCACAATTTTTGATAACATAAGCAAGATGGTCCTTGATGTAATAAAATCTTGTCGGAGTTTTAGGAAATTGTAGCGAGAAATTCATAAAGATATCAATGGTCCTAATTACTCAGCCCGCAAACATGATTTACGGTTTTAATATAGCGCCATAATCTTTCATTAAAACTTAATTTGCCTTAAGTCCCCTTAAAAATTTCATTAAACATTCAACCAACAAGCTGACGTATAGAGGAATTCTCTCTTTACGGTTAAATAAATTTGGAATAAAAATTATGACCCCTCGGAAATTTTATTATGTTTTATCAAATTAATTTTTCATTTCACTTACACGTTTAATCGTCGGAAAATGCTTGTTATAAGTTGAAGGTCAATATGGACGACCCTATCAGGTCATTAAATAACTTGGTTAGGGACTTAGGTATATCACCTGAAAATATAAAATAGTTTTTTAATTAATTTTTATAATTTTATCAACTATCCTTAAAATTCTTTAAATAGCCTTGTATATGGGTGATTCTGCAAAAGTTGGGCAACTTTTGACCTCATTTTGTTTATATAGTTTTCGGAGAAAATTAAACAGTATTTTGTTATGAGAACATAGATAATATAATAAATATACTGTTCCAGACCGGGCCAGTCACTTTTTTACAGTTTCTGAAATATCTGTGTTTTCTAAATTTGAATGCAAGGGAAGTGACGAGTATACCGGGGTATACCCCGGTATACTCGTCACTAATTAAATACATAATTTATTGGAAAATATAAGATTTATTGCAACTTTGAGCATATTATACATTAAATATCTTAAAATCAAATAATACCACACATCAGTGGCGGCTGGTGGATTTTGGGTATACCGATATCTCAATTATTAGATATGGGACCCACATCAAATTTATATGAGTTTATAATGACATTAAATAAATAAGTTCTGAGAAAGCAGAATTTAAATTGAAGTTTGCGAAAAAAAGATAACCGAAACATCGAACATGGTACTGATGAATGGGATACAAATTTGATATTATAATTCGGAATAAAGTATTTTACTGATAGTGGATGCTACTTATGAACAAATCACATATAGCCTTATATAAATTACAATGAAATATATATACGTAAGAAAATAACCACTCACCACAGTACTGAAATTTTGACTGGAACTATACGTGCATTCACCACAACTTCGCCGCTTGCATTGTTTTCAAGATTACTGTCGTGCAAAGGGCGGGCTCTGTAGGTAATTTGTAATTTCGCAGGAAACTGATTGGTAAAAGTGAGTACAAAGATTATCAATTTTTTTAAAAATTGCTATTATTCGAATCTATGATAAAATATGAAAAATACATTATTTAATGTTTTATAGTTTGTAGTGAAATTGAAAAATTTAAGACAAATTGAATATATTTTAAAATAAAATCACTCAAATATTTTATTGAGGAGTTGTGACACGCCAAGGTACTGACGTTTTGAATATTTATTATGTTTTTCTACAAACAAATATACTAAAATATTTACAAAAAATATTATAAACTCATTATATTACTACATTTTGTATAAATATAAAGTTTGAAGTTGTAATGTATATAGGTAACTTTATTGTTATCAGTGAAGGAATTGAAGTAATAAAAAAATAAAACTGGGAAACTTTATATTTCCCCCTCGAATGCTTTCCACTTATTTCTCGACGAACGATAATAAAAAACTTTTTGAGTTTAAGTAATGCAAAAATGGATTTCTGATGTTACCTTGTTATCAGATAATGCAGACGCGAAGGGTAATACTAACAACAACATTTAATAAAAAACGAACGGTTTTTTTGCCTTCCGACATATGTTGATTTAATACTAAAAGCTTTCATCTGACTTTCCTCTTATCAGACTATCGAGTTTACCCGCCACCTTGCCTTGAATAAAATTACTTGTCCGACAACAATTTCGCAATTCACTTCGTGGAAATTTATGGAAAAATATTTTAAAGAAACTCTCTAAATATATTCTTTAAACTATCGTAAATGTGCGATGAAATAGGAAAAGGTACATTGTTCAAAATTTCATGACCATTTTAACACCAAATTAACACCATACATGGTCTATATCGATACAAACCAAAATGGTGTTAAATATGGTACGTTGGTCCAGTGTAAATTCAAATGCTAAAATAGTGTAAATTCACCACTCAATGTGTCGCGACCAAAAAGTTCGTCCTTTTTCAAAACGACATAACTTTTTTGTTTCTTGAACGATTTTATTTTGGTATGTGATGTCTGCTAACCCTATCCTCTGGCAATTCATGCTATAGATATTAAGCATACGGTTCTTCAAGTAAATTTCCTACAGGGTGATATGTAAAACGGTGAAAAATTTCAATAACTTCATCCAAGCCCCGTTTGTAAAACAATAATTTTTTTTTCGATTTTACTTTAAAATAATGTAGTATTATGTGTTACCTTGAAACTTTTTTCAAATTTTTCGAATTGGAATCTTAGCAACGAAAATATGATTTTTTTCCAAAAGAGTACATTTAAGGCTTTTTGGTAGGCAATATATTCAGTCTTTTTAAGAACAAGAAAATAAGATGGTAAAAGATTGTTCCTTGAATAATTCTGAACAAACGACAAGCAACAAACTTCCATTATTTTCAGAGGGGCCTAAGCAAATACCACTTTTTTAAAATGACATTTTGGTGGAAATTTGCGAAAACTAAACCTGAACCGATATTTACGTTCGTGACATGTTTTCTTTATAATTTTGACCTCCTGATTGTGATTCAGTTGTCAAATTTAAGTTTCAGATAAAACCAAAATCATCAAGAATCAAAATTCCCTGTTGTTAAATGTCTTAATAAAATCCGATTGCTGTCGTGTTTCTTGCATATTTATGATAAAATGCCATTCGGGGATTCATTTTTTGGGCGAAATTACTGCAATTTGTTTGAGTGGTTAGGATAATGTTACATAACTTACATTTACATTGCGCAGTAGTGATAACATCATTGATAAGTACCTACCTAATTTATAATAAAGTAAAATAAAAATATTTTTGTTCATTTTTAAAAATTGTATGCGTAGATATAATCATAATCAAAACTTCAACATTCAACAGAAAAATGTAACAATTAATAACAATAATACCTTTCAATATTTTGTTGGCCCTCCCCTAAGCCGTAATAATTCGTTAACCCTCCTGGACATTCCCTCGACCAAGTTCCTTAGAAATTTCTGGGATACCCCATTCTTCCTGAATAGCATTTACCAATTCATCCAAATTTTTCATGCCTCCTCTCCCTCTCTTTTATCTTCAATTTTATCCTGCTCCACACATGCTCAATAGGATTCATCTCGGGATTCATATCCGGAGACAAAGGTCTTCTCAATATGGTGGTCCCTTAAATACTCATTTACGATATGTAAAAAAACATTAAAAACCAGCAATCGGACAGCCGGGAATTGTTTTCGAATCTTGATTCGTAGTGATTTTGGTTTTATCTGAAACTTAAATTTGACAACTGAATCACAATCAGAAGGTCAAAATTATGAAGAAAACATTTTACGAAAGTAAATATCGGTTTAGGTTTAGTTTTTGCAAACTTTCACAAAAATGTCATTTTCAAAAAGGGGTCTTAGCTTAGGCCCTCTGAAAATAATGAAAGTTTGTTGCTTCTCGCTTGTTCAGGATTATTTAAGGAACAATCTTTCACCATCGTCTCTTCTTGTTCCTAAAAAGACTGAGTGTATTGCCTAAAAAAAAAGCCTTAAATGTACCTACTCTTTTGGGAAAAAAATCATATTTTCGTTGCTAAGATTCCAATTTGAAAAATTTGAAAAACGTTTCAAGGTAACACATAATACTTCATTATTTCAAAGTAAAAACGAAAAAATAATTATTTTTTTACAAACGGGGCTGGGATAAAGTTATTGAAATTTTTCACCGTTTAACATATCACCCTTTAGGAAGTTTACTTGACCAACCGTGAGCTTCATATCTATAGCATAAATTGTCAGAGGATGAGGCTAGCAGACATCACAAACCAAAATTAAATCGTTCAAGAAACAAAAAAGTTATGTCGTTTTGAAAAAGAACGAACTTTTTGGTCGCGACACATTGAGTGGTGCGCAGTTTAGTTAAATGAACTATTCCTTTTTTTCTGTGTAGGTGCACTTCTCAAATATATAGATAAACACCGTTTTTGTGTTTGCTGTATATAACATTTTCAACCATAATTCATTAACACCACTTGGTGTTGGATTTTGACACCATTTTAAGATTACTCTTTACACCACAGATATTTTAAACAGTGTATGGATGTTCCGATTAAATAAGGCGCAAATAAACTTGTTTGCAGAGAACATCAATTCGCAACGAACACAGCAGCGGTAGGTAAGGGAAAGGGCAAAATTGGGCCAAAACAACAGTGGCGGTGGAGCGAAGTATTTGGAGTAAAACCGACCTCGAACGCATTAACTCACGAGCAGTTGTGTTTCAGTTTGTTAAAGCCGCCAGAAGCCATTAGCCGCCGCCGTCACCTTTGCTAGGGGGGCGGTTAACTTTATAGCCATATTTAACTTGCCGTTCGACCGCATCACTTAACTTGATCATCTGTTACTCTATTTTTGAGTGTTTGGATTATTTGGACTATAACTACATTAATTTTTAAATACACATTAAGACCTTAATATTTTATCGAAAAATATGTACAGTACGGTGTCTTTTATTTACCAAGTTAGCTGTTTTCACTTGGGTATGGCTTTAATTCTTAGTTTATAAACTAAAAACAATTTTGAAAAAAAAAATAACGATACTTTTCCCATTCATTTAACATGGAATTTTTGAACTTTTTGGAAGTTATTTTTTTTATTACATTTTTTCAGTTAACTCCATCAAATTCCACTAATTTAGCAGCTCTTTCATAATTCCAAACCAAATATTAACTAACACAAGAAACAATCTTC